TTGGGCGCAACACTTTTCATGCCCATTAAAGAACTTATTTCTGTGTGGATTTTTATGAAAAAAACGTTGATTAAAGGCACAAAAAATGTAAATTTTCAGTTACCACGGACTCTTATGCTAAGGAAATAACTAATCTTTGGTGGCCATTTTCTCACTAATTTTACCTCTGAAAACAAATGCGCCCCACCTCCTTCTTTCGCAACTATCTCGACTTTTATATAAGATAAATGGATATTTTTTTCATACAAATAAAGACAAGTGAACAAGCTTTAGGATGATACCAATAACTCTACAGGCCCAAAATTGACGAGAGCCTGATTCCACCACGCTGCCTCACAAATGGATTACATTAACACTGAGAGCGCTACAACAAACAGAACCACTTACTACAGAAATCTACTGACAAAAATGGAAAGCTATTTCCAGCATCTCCGAACACAAAACAGACTTGTTTGAATTCTGAAAATAATCTATTATCAGTGGCCCGATTTTATTTTATGGCGAATCAAAGGATAAAATTTTGGCACATTTTCGCTAAATTCTTCAAAATCAAACATTTCATCTTACTCTTAAGTAAGCGAATACTTTTAATAGGAGCGTTAAACCTTTGACATTTCATCAGTTTCACCAAACATTGGATATCTGAGGTGGGTGGTTGGCGGGTGCCCTGGCGTCGTTTGCTTTTTCTTTCACATCAAATATCCATTGGTGGCGTCGGTAGCCTAGTGGTTAGGCTACGTTGTGTCCTTGGGAAAGGCACTTTACACGAACTTCCCACTTGGCTCGGTCCTATCGGAGACGGGCGTTAAACTAGGTGGTCCTGCCTCTTAAATAACCTTATAGAGTTGATAGGGGCGTTAAACCTATACCATTTCACCCTTTACAAATATCCATTGTCCTCATCTCTCTTCCTGTTTTGTGTTTGTTATTCCATTGTAACACCTTTATTCTTCGCACTTTTAATGTGCTGCAAGAGTCGTAAAATTCTCACTAAAACAAATGAAAAAACATACGGTCACTAATTCCGATCGTTTGTACGTAGAATCAGAGAAATGTGACTCCTTGGCTCCCTCTTACTGCTGTCTTATTTAGCTTATAACCGTTATGCACATTTAAAAACAAATTTATGTGATGATTTTACAGAAAAATGTTGATCAAAGCAACACAATTTTAAGTTTAAAAAGTAAATTTGCATCTCCCAAAGACACTCAAACTTTAAAAATCTCCAAGCTTTGGCGACCATTTTCTATATAATTTTTACCTCTGAAAGCAAGCCACCCCCTACCTCGTTCTGTCTCAATTGTATCTATTTCTCTTCAAAATAGATAGGTATTTTTTCACAGAAAGCAAGACAAAGAAACACACTGTACGAATATACTAAAATCTCCGTATTATGCGCAGAAATTGGCAATTTCACCGAGCCGTTTTGTTTTGTTTTGCTTAATTTTAAATCTTCAGTCAAATGTAACGATATTGTAATACCAGAAACACCTGGTATTTTGTTTGGATTTTTTTCCCCTCTAAGTTTGATCTCGTTCACTTTTAATTCAATCGATACTCTCTCCTTCGTTTGCGCGACACACCTTTTCTGCCTCCCCTCATTTGCACGATTTTCTTCCTTTTACTTGCACGTCTCTCTCTCTCTCTCTCTCTGTCTCTCTCTCTCTCTCTCTCTCTCTCTCTCTCTCTCTCTCTTTCTTTTTCTTTCTCTTTTTCTCCCCCCTCTCTCTTTCTTTTTCTCTTTCTTTCTCTCCCTCTCTCTCTCTTTCTTTTTCTCTTTCTTTTTCTCTTTCTTTTTCTCTTTCTTTCTCTCCCTCTTTCTCTCTGCCTCTCTCTCTTTCTTTTTCTCTTTCTTTCTCTCCCTCTTTCTCTCTCTCTCTCTCTCTCTCTCTCTCTCTCTCTTTTTCTTTCTCTTTTTCTCCCCCCTCTCTCTTTCTTTTTCTCTTTCTTTCTCTCCCTCTCTCTCTCTCTCTCTCTCTCTCTCTCTCTCTCTCTCTCTCTCTCTCTCTCTCCCTCTCTCTCTCTCTCTCACTCTCTCTCTCACTTACTCTCTATACCTTATTCTCACTCATTGTCTCCCTGAACCAATCCTTTCCCCTCATTTTCACACTTTACCTCTTTTGAGTAATATTCTTTGCTAAATTATACCAAACCTATCAAAAACATCTTAAACAGAGATCTGATGAAATTGCTGCACAAAAAGGTCTCTGAAATTACAGTAACTCTGCAAAACCGTCTCAAGTGTCCACTCATATTTCGTACTTCTTTATGACTCCAATATGAAAATAAAAGAATGTATCATATATTTTATATATTATACACATATATACATTTAAAAAATATATATTATAAAAAAACAACCCAAAACAACAACAAAACAAAACAACCAAATTAAAATATTGCTCTACAACACAGACAATACTATAATCTAACCAAAACACAGTCAGTTTCTACAACACAATACTTTTTTCCCCTGTATGAATTTGATTCACCTGCGGAAAAAAAATCTACTCTGAAATAGAGTTTAGCTACACATTATAATAATTTGAGTAACAGATCTAAAAGCAAGCACTAATGGCGTGATGTGGAGATCTATGAAAAATTTTGCAATATTCTTGTTACTTTGCAAAAAGTGGATAGCAGCTGCTGCATATGAAAGCTATTTCAGCAAGCAAACGTCAGCTAAAATTAATTAAAAAATAAAATAATTAAATGAGATTTCTAGACATTCATGTGATATTTGCGTAGTTCTTTCCCACATTTGTAAGAACCTACAAAACGTTTTTAAAGATTGTTTGCATCTGTTATTCGTCTTTCCAACCATCATCGTCATCATCATCATCATCATCATCATCATCATCATCATCATCATCATCATCATCATTGGGGACTGCAAAAAGACAACAACAAAAAAACAACCGGTGGAGACTGAAGAATTTTTAAACATGTCTTCCCTATTTGGCAATTTGTCACTTAAATTATATTTGTAATATCACCCTTCCACGTCAACAGTGAATTTTCCAACTGTGGTAGCAGCAACGACAACAACAACAATAATAACAACAACAGCAACAACAATAGCAACAACAACAACAACAAAACACCAAAACAAAATAATAAGCAAACCAAAACAAAACAGAGAAATCTCATTTTTCATAAGTGTTGAAGTAACTTGTTGAAAAAAGACTCTTTGAAAATGGATAACAGCTTCTTTTATTATCTTGTCGACCACTTAGAGCTGTGAAAACAAGCAACCACCACCTTGTTCAATCTCGATTTGTATTCAAGATAGATGGGTACTTTTTTTCCTCGAAAGCAAGACAAATTAACACGCTGTACGAAAATACAAATATTGACGAGCGTCTGGTTTCACCACGCCGTATCACAATGACATAATATATGACGTGATACCTAAGCTTATATAATAGTCCTAAAGAGACCCAAGAATCCGAAGAAGGATTTAGCCTCATTCATACGGTATTATGACACCATAAGAAATGAACAGCTGTTACAGCAGACAAATAAATCGAAATTAATGGATTTAGAAATCAGAAAAAAGAAAATAGAAGTAGATTATACACACGCTGAGAAATCTGAACACATAACTTTACGCATCAAGCCTTCGATAAAAATTTTTTTAAAGGAACAAAAAGGAAGGCATAAACGTGCTTGAAGGAGAGACTTAGATTCGGTCCTGAAAAGGACAAGATACAGCTGAACAGAAGTGGAGACTTTATCACAGGGGAGAAGTATAGTATAGGAGGTCTTTTTTTTTCGCTACCCCAGTACGAGGTGAGAAAATTGGCTTCGACCCAGCCTGTTAGAGTAAATTAGGACTAAGAGGGACAGGGCTCATCTCAACAGAAAGATCCTTATACACGATATAGAAAAAAACAACAACAACTATCCCCACTTGGGGATCGAACTTGGGTTGTTTGCATACAACGGCGAAGAATCAAACTGCTATGACCATATAACTCGGCACACACAATTGTGAGGCATCATGGTGAAATCAGGCCCTCGTCAAAATATTGAAATCAGAGAAATAGACATTTTACCGCCCGTTTGATAATTTTATCGATTTACTTTTTTGATTTTGTTTTGGGCTCATCATCCTATCTATATCCATTTGAAACATATTCCTGTACGCAATTTTGATTTTTTTAAAGTTGATCAACGGCACCCAAAAAATGTAAATTTGCAGTTTCCGTTGACGCTACAGCTTTAAGAGTCAACAATCTTTAGCAACCATTTTTTTCGCTAATATTACCTCGGACGCAAGGCGACCCCTTACTTCCTTCAATCGCAACTATCTCGGCTTTTATTTAAGGGGGATGAGCTCTATTACAACCAAAATGAAGGGAAATGAATAGGCGTTAGGATTATACCAGTAAATCTCCACGCTTAAAAGCACCTGATTCCGTCCATTCGTCCAATATCGATCGAAACTCCGCGAAATTCTTGCAAAAATCGTTGTTTTTGTTGTCGTGATGTAGGCTAGATCTAAGGGTAAACAACACGGAGCCTGGTATAATAAAAAGGCCCTTCAAAGAAAGATATTCAACTAAATTTGTGAAATTCTTGCATAAATGTGTGCTAGGGTGATATCGCTACAATGTTGTGTTGATTCCAATGGATTATTAGGACTTATAGAGCTGAAAAAGTGCGGTAATTCGAAATTTTCGAAGAGCTGTTGCGCAATTTTTTTTTCTCATTCGTTTTTGTCTGAAGGAAAATGCAGTACAAACAGATTATAGGTCATAGTTATTGATATAAACACATTCCTCTATTTATTCCCATCAGTTTGGTATATGACAATACCTATTAGAGTGACTTACAGCTTCACAGTAATGCATTAAATAGATGCACCCCAGGTCTAAAACTGAACAGGGAAAAATAATTCTGTCCAGAGCCTGAAAAAATCATGGACGGAATCAATTATAAGCACCTGATTCCACCACGCTGTGAAACAATATAAACGTTGTTTACCAGGGACTTACATTAACACACCAATGAGAGCTCTGTGAACCCGCTTTTTCGTCCACTTTGAACAGTCAAGCCAGAAAAAGCAAATATGTGTTGATTTTTATAATTTTGTGTCTAAAGTCACTTGAACACCTGATCTTAATGCTTATATCACAAGCACAAAAAGAAGTTGTTGCAGAACCCTAACAAAAATAGATTTACCTATCCTCGATATGCTTTTAGATTGTGACTTCGAATGGTATGAGGAGTCATTATAAATCCAGTCAAAGGATGTTACGTTGGCGTACGTTTCTCTATAAAACTCGTGCAATAAATAATTGTCTGTCTTCACCAGCAGGAATCCTCTGAAGCTTCAGAGATTTATCTTCAGTGTTGTGTTTTGTATAGGAGGAAAACTTAATTGCAGCGTAATTATTTTGTATAGCTGTTGATAATTTATCATTCGAGATACCCTTAAGGAAAATCAATCACATAGTGCAAATGTTTCGAAAAAGGAAAATTAGTTACGACACAAAAAATATTATTTCAAATTTTAAAGCAAAACGAACGACTCACACTTTCGTAAAGTACACTATCTATTGAATTGATGCTTTTTTTGCTATCTAAAATAAATTGATCAGAAGCCGAGATATGAGCATTTTTAGTTAGTCACCCCTAACCTCAGTTCCTTTCCCTGTGCCCAGTTCTGAAAAATCTGTTCCTGCTGTTTTATTTTTTTCATTTTCTCCAAAATTAATTATGTTTAAGAATAATTGTAAATATACACATACATTTTTATTGATGTTACTCAAATATTTTATTCGAAGTACATCGTTTACGTGTAATTTTGAGGATATTTATAATTAAAAGAACTCGTTTTACAATGACATTTATTTTTTTAAATCACATTTTATTCTATTATGTCTCAGTCCCTGGACCAACGACACACAACCAAATTTCCTATGATGCCTCACATGGGCTGGACTGTATGTGCGTCCTTGGTGAAGTTCTTAGGTTCTTTGCTTGAACATAGGAACGGTCTGAGTTTGAGTCCGATGTAACCGGCTTATGTGGTGGAGCGGTTAGATGCTTAGTCGTTGCATTCAGAAGGCTTGATTTCGTAGTCTGTTCGTGGAGAATTTTTAACCCAGTATCGCGGTATTTCGGTTAAAAGGCTATATTTTTTAAAGCCCGGGTTGAATCTGACAAGCATGGTTAAAGCCATTCTTCCAAACGATCTAAATTGCATTAATGGAGACGTAAAAAAAAAAGCCTAGAGAAAAGAAAGTTTGAGGTGGAGATAGATATCTATTTTTTTCTGTGAACATACTTCATCACTCTCTGCCCCTAAGCCAACCATGTAAAACTGTAGCTCTTGAAGGACGGCGTATACATAGTGTCGCCGTCATTCAACATTGTTGTTTGTCCAAAAAAAATCAATTTAAAAATCAATTTAAAAATCAATTTGAAAATCAATTTGAAAATCAATAGAAAAATCAACTATTATTCTGTAAAATTTGTAGAAAGGCCGTTTCTCGTTCCTCTTTCAAAAAATATCACAACATGTTTAGATGAATTCATCTTTTGACCCCACCTTTCTAGGCCAACCCGGCAGGAGATCGATACAACATTTAAGCAGAAAGATGGAAATTATGCTCGACAAACATTTTTCGCTTTGGTATTCCCCAACGACCATCAAGATACTCGATAAAATATCTTTTCTTATGAAAATCGAAATCGCGTCTTCTGCGTACGACGGCAAAGAGCACCATCCCATCAACGATGAGACTTATAATCTCAACAGATAGAAACAACATGCACTGAGTATTTTTGAGATTCTAATTTTTAAAAATTAAATGTATTGGCGTGATCTTTATGTCGTGTTTCGCCCAACATGTTTTTGGTTTTTTTAACCAAAGTTTAGAATTCGGGATTGAGTCGCCCCGTACCATGTGGTGTACTGCAGTAGAGGCCATTTTTTTATTTGGCAAACGAGTAGAATTCGCGGATTACACCAACAGTCGCAAATATAGTAAATTCAAGTCACTTCCGGTAAAAAGAAATTAATACGGTATAGATCTACAGGAAAAGGAACCGCAATATCATTACGAGAGCACACGCTATTTCAGGAATACACCATCACATCTATCTGAATTTTAGTTTCCCTCTGCCCTCAGAGAAAGATGGCCCTAGCCGTTCCCCTTGTCCTGAACTTTGCCCTTTTCCTGATTGCGGTACCGTTGGTGACTGTCGACTGTGGAAGTGAGGGTAGCTCTGATTCCGACCCACAACCTTGCTGCTTCCCAAAACAGTTCACGACTTACAACTCCGACGCAGAGAAGCGAATCTGGGCGAAATCCTCCTTCGACTTCGTCAACCAAAGAAAAATTGTCAACGTTATAGACTCGGACTCCAACGACTTCTACTACACAGATATGAAGGCTGGAAGGACCTACGAGCACCTCGGCGGGACGTGCAAATACTTTACCACTCCGGGAATTACCAGAGTTCACATCACTTTTCCCTGCATCCCCGATGATTCGCAGCTGATCGACCAAGGCGGGTCCCTGAGAGCAAACACCTGGGAGGTGAATTCAAACGGAATGTCCGGTTTTATTTCCGTGTCTCAGGACAAATGTTACCCTATCACTGCCAGCTTGACCGATACTGATTCCGGTTTTTCTCTCTACGTATTTCTGACCAGCATTACTGAAGGTATTGACGAGTCTGCTTTTGACGTAGATCTATCCGACTGTACTGAAGTCTAATGATAATCTTATACAGTCTTTATTACGCTCAAGCCACCACGCACTAGCGATATGAAAAGTGACATCAGGATCTCATAGGCAGTATAATTATACTATAGTGATTTTGACCAGAGTCAGTGTAGGAATTGGTTCGTCTGTTGTCAACGTAGATTTGCCGGACAGCACAGAAATCTAATGATAATAACCTCATACAGTTTACATTATTGTTGGGACATCACTCATCGTAGTGGAGAAAAGTGGTTGTCTAAGAATAGTTGACTAATGGACAATATTACTAAAATTTCAACGACAACAACCAAATGCAGGGGGGGGGGGTTGAGTTGGAAGTTTATAGTTTGTACAGGTACTGGGTGATTGTCTCAGACAGCCGGCGTATAGGGCAGTTTCAACTGTGTATTATGGTCGATAGAGAGATTTTATGTCTCTGAAAATGTACATTTTTATCATTGAGAGAAAATGGCTTTCTATATGTGAAACGTTCTGACAAAATGAGATACTTCTCGGATTCGAGCCTCATGGAAATAAATACGTCACCCTATTAGGTGAAGATTTTACCATTTACATTCACTATAACATAATAAAGGCATTTAAAGAATATGGCATCAATTGTTTTAAATTTACAAATTTGACTCTAGTGTCCATTTTGGGCCAATACATCGATTTGTAGATTGCGAGAAGTAACTCATTTTGTCAGCAGGGCTCACATATCTATCTATCTATCTATCTATCTATCTATCTATCTATCTATCTATCTATCTATCTACCAGAAGGGTTTTTTCATCCTCTGACCTTGTTTATAAAAACGAAGCCTTCAGGATTATTTTCTGATGTTTTTATTTGTTTTTGTTTTTTTGACAGTTTAGGTTTATTTATGCACTCAAATTAAACTGAACTCTCATTTTGCCTTTCAAATGTTGAATGTCATGTCCTTGCTTGGTTCAAACAATCAACGCCTGGGAAAATACCTGATTTTTCGAACAATCCAAACACAACATTTTGATTTTTCCCCCCTTCTAATAAAATTTTGTAAAAGAAGCAGCAACCAACCATGTTCTTGTTTTTGATATAATGTTTGATATTGAGTACTTATTGTGATATTGTGGTAAAATCAGGCGCTTGTCAAAATAATAAAATCGAAAGACAGATATTTTCCGTCCATTGGGCTTTTAAAATCAAATATTTATTTTTAATGGTGGTCGGGGTTTTTTTCTTGTTTCTTTTATTTGTGTGTTTAAAATTGTATTGTCCCAGTGGGAAAAATTTCTGTCATTGTACTGGAATAATGAAACATTGGGTAGTTTTTCATGAACTTAAATTATATATATATATATATATATATATATATATATATATATATATATATATATAGAGAGAGAGAGAGAGAGAGAGAGAGAGAGAGAGAGAGAGAGAAAGAGAGAGAGAGAAAGAGAAAGAGAGAGAGAGAGAAAGAGAGAGAGAGAGAGAGAGAGAGAGAGAGAGAGAGAGAGAAAAAGAGAGAGAGAGAGAGACAACACTCAGAAACATTCTCTCTCAGCTTCTCGGGAAGCAGACAAAGCGAGCAGCTGATTGAATGCTCAAACACTAACAAACTGACAAGTTCTTTTATGTGTATCAATTGAGGAAGATAATGTGCAAGGGTAAAACAAAACGAAATGTATCAGGTGAGGAAGACAACTTGAAATAAACTAATGGGTCGCCACACTTGTAGAACCTATAGCTTCCACTGTCATGTCATCTGGTCCTGGGGCATTCTTAATGGGGTTTGTTGTATTACCTGTATTACCTGTATTACCTGTATTACCTGTCCTGGGCAACAACGTCATTGCACACCGGACAGGTCCATAAGTGCTCAGTTCCCCCCAGCACCAAAGCCCACAAGGTGTCCATACTGATTGTTCAGTTGGCTGTCTGATTATGGTGACGTCTTTCCTTTCCAGATAATCGTTCCTTTCTTCCTTCTCCCCTCTCTATCCCCATTTCCCGCATCCTAATGATTGCGTGGTGTTCTGCTGTCTCACTGTCTTCCTTATCTCGCAACTTTTCCTCCAGGGTGTTCAACACTTCTCCTTTGTCATTTTTCACCTCACCATTAACCACGGCACTGCCTGCAAGCCTATCAGCCTCCTCATTGCCCTTCACTACAGAGTCCCCAGTACAGAAGAAACACGTGATGGCTCTAAGTGATGAGTGTTGTTCAGCTGTATTGTGTTCATCCATTCACGCCGAAGCAGCCCTTTCTCAACCTGTCGCAGGATGCTCTGGGAGTCTGCGACAATAATGAGATGGCTAGTTCTTGGTCTTGTATTTTGAAGCCAGACAAGCGCTCTTGTTACGGCCTAAGTCTCCATTTTCATGCTTGAAGTTGTTCTTTCTATGGCCCTTGACATGTCATGAACCTTTTCGTCCCCATTGTAACCACAAAACCCCACCCACTTCTCTGACCCCTCCTGAGCGATCCATCTGAATAGATCACCGGGTCCTCTAGCTTTGAATGATCCTCAATTAACTGTCGTATTTCATTGTCGTTAATAAAAGCAGCATATTCCCGTCTTACATGATCCATAGTGATGTGAACGTCGGCCAGGCTTCTGCAATCGGGGCTCAGTTCAAACAATTTCTTTCCACAGCATATTTCGTCGATGCCACAAACTTTCCTCAAGGGGTCTTCGGCTTCTGCCATCCGTGAGCTGCCCCGTTTGATCCTGTTTCTTTTGATGCTGCTTAAGTTGTCATGCAAAGGATGCCTCGGGTCATCCAAAACATTCAAGTACAACTTTGCCCGTGCCACCGTATGCCTCACTCTGATGCGTACAGACAACATGGGTGTCCTTTGTGCAACCTAGAACGGCCCTCATAGCTGCATTCTGTACTCTCTCCAACCTGTCTATCTCAGACTTGGACAGGGAGAGGATGCCCAGTCCATAGTCTATGACTGACAGAACAACCAGCTGCATTAGGAGAAAAAGAACTCTCTGTTGAATTCCCGCTGAAGTCAAGGTCTTCACTACATTTAAGCCCCCCCCTGAGCTGTGACAGCAACATTGTTAATACGTCTTCGGAAAAATGTGTCCTGTCCTGTCCAGAGTGATTCCCAGGTACTTCAGCTCATGCTGTCTGTCTATGAGAAAGTGGTCAAACACAATTGGAGGGGTAAGATCTTTTACAATACGGTTGTAGAGTGAGCACCAGAAGACCTGGATGGTTTCGAGTGCAGATTCAATTTTTCTACACCGTATGGGTGGTTCTGTTTGCTTATCTAAAACGGTCTTATTATAAGAAAAAAGAAACGAAAAAACTGCCTTTGAAGTAGTAATGCTCAAAGCATGTTGAATATATTTGCTACAGCAGAAACGCTTACGTGAGTGCAGACCATGTCTCTGGCTCGATTTTTCTGGTGTGAGTTAAACCTACCAACTGTCTTGGATGACAGTAATTAACTGTTTTTGTCAGCATCATTGCCTTTCTCACCCTGCCTCAGGGTATAGGCGACAAACAATAACGTTCTACCTTTCTCTATCCCTCTTGATGATCAACAGTTTCTGTAAATTTTCTGCTGGTTCAATGCGGTCTTCCCATTGATCTTTTACCTTATGGGTTCCCACCCAACACTTTCTTTGCTATACAGCTGCCTGACGTCCTAAGAATATGCCCAATCCATACCCACCGCCTTCTTCCTACCTCACCTCTGACTGGGATCTGTCTTGTTTTCTTTTACACTTTCTCATTGCTGACTGTGCCTGTCCATTTGATTCTCAGTAACTTTACTGTTACCATTTTGGTATCTCAGAAGTGTTTCAGTCTCAGATTGTTTTAAATTGTTCCTCTGAGGTTTTGAGCGTACAGTCTCGTGCACCCCAGCATCTGAGCCACAACTCTTTGTGATTTAACCCACCCCAACCCCTTTTTTTCCTTTTTTTTTTTTAACAGGATCTTTGGAGTGCCGGTTTAGTTGCCAAGCAAAACTAAGATGTGGATTGGTCAGGCTCAAATCTCTACGGGGTATTCTTATTCTTAGAGTTCGAGTCCATTGGGACACAAACCAACCGACCCGATTCCGTCAGTCTCTCGGAAAGTCGGTTGTTGAAATGGAGCATCTTTTTTCCCCCTAAGAAATAAAAAAAATCCCGTTTGGCTGGGTCAAAACATGTGTCGGTTGGAAAGCGCTTGCTGCATTTTAGTCGGCCCTAGTGGTAACTCATTAGATTTAGGCCCAGCCGGACCTGAATATATTTTCTAATTTTGAGTTAGGATTAACAACTAATGTCATATTCGTAATCAGCATCTTAAAATTAACAAAGACTGTGCTCAACCACCGTTTAAATGCATATTAACAGTTTTACCAATTTTCCTTTAAAACCCAAGCATTGCTTTTCCCCACCTTGGGTTCATGTGACCTCTTGACTATTTATAGTCCGGTACCGATAACACAGCCCGCCACGACAGCGGTCTAGCGTACACATACGGGAAATAAGTAGGCCAACAGACAAGACGTGTCTTTTTCCGAGCTGTGTGGACACACAAGACGGAAACGACCCGACCGATTTTTTTCCTCCCGACAAAAAATCTCGTTGTGTCCGTCCCAATGGCCTCGAAGGCTAAGATGGCATGTCAAGGCTCTCAGCGTTTTCTGAAATGGTTCTTTTACTCGTAGAAATCTTGTAAATACAAATTTAATCCCACAAAGTTCAAGATCCAGTGAGACAGACGTCTTTACTATAGTAGCTAACATCCTGGCCGTTGGAAGCATGAGAAATGAATTCGATCCCCAAGTGCAGAGGATTTTTATCAAGTATCGCGTTCTTTTTGCAGGGATTTTATATCCCTCCTTGCCCTGTCCCTGTCAAATTAGTAAATATTGATTTTAACCCCAATTAGCGGGATGCTTTGTGCACTTTATAACAATCTTTAACCCAGCAGACTCTAGAACACTCAGAAACATTTTCAGCTCCCCGGAGAGCATACAGTTCAGGCAGCCAGGCAGCTAATTAAACACACACACACACACACACAAACACACACACACACACACACACACACACACACACACACACACACACACACA